ACCTCCCCACACCCTCCAGAGCATCCAGAACACCCCCAGGACCCACCTTCTTGAAGGAGGTCAGCAGTTTGATGCTCACAAAGCCCATCTTGTTCTTCTGCACGTGTTTGAGCAGGAAGGCGTCCCTGGCCAGGTTCTCGTCGGACAGGTAGAACTCCACCTGCGCCACGATCCTGCGCACCAGCTGCGGGTCGGGGGCTGAGCGGCTGCAATCCAGCAGAGCCGCCCCCAGGGCATCGCTCAGCTCGCAGGAGAGCCTGGCACAGAGCAGGGACACGGGGTGAGGGGGGTATGGGCAGAGGGGACAACACAGACACACAGGGAGTGCCACCAGCCCTGTCCTGGGGGCAGGGAACACGCCAGCCCGTGCACTGTGAGCCTCCCAGGAGAGCCAGAGTGAGCCAAAATAGGTGGAACAGGTTCCCTTGAGGATAAACCCGTGGAAGGAGCAGGGTTTAACCCTTCACCTTCTCCTGAGTCCAGGGAGCACCCCCAGGCCATGCCCTGTGAGCCTCCCAGGAGAGCCAGAGTGTGAACCAAAATAAGTGGGACACATTCCCTTGAGGATAAATCTATGGAAGGTACAAGGTTTAGCCCAGGGAATGTCATGAGCCCTGTCCTGGGGGCAGGGAGCACCACCAGTCTTTGCCCTGTGAGCTTCTCAGGAGAGCCAGAGTGTGAACCAAAATGAGTGGAACACGTTCCTTTGGGGATAAACCCGTGGAAGGAGCAGGGTTTAACTCTTCACCTTCTCCTAAGTACAGGGAGCACCCCCAGCCCTGTGAGCGTCCCAGGAGAACCAGAGTGAACCAAAAGGCGTGGGACACATTCCCTTGAGGATAAACCCACGGAAGGAGCAGGGTTTAGCCCAGGGAATGCCATGAGCCCTGTCCTGGGAGCAGGGAGCACCCCCAGTCTTTGCCCTGTGAGCTTCTCAGGAGAGCCAGAGTGTGAACCAAAACACATCTCAGGTGTGGAACACGTTCCCTCAGGGGTAAACCCACAGAAGGAGCAGGGCTTAGCCCAGGGAACACCCCTCACCCGTGAGCTTCACAGGAGAACCAGAGTGAACCAAATTGAGTGGGACACATTCCCTTGGGGATAAATCCGTGGAAGAAGCAGGGTTTAACCCTTCACCTTCTTCTGAATTCCTTCTGAGGAAATGCCACCAGCCCATGCCCCATGACCTCCCAGGAGAGCCAGAGTGTGAACCAAAATGAGTGGGATATGTTCCCTTGAGGATAAACCCACGGAAGGAGCAGGGTTTAGCCCAGGGAATGTCATGAGCCCTGTCCTGGGTGTGGGAAACACCCCCAACCCGTGCTATGTGAGCTTCCCAGGGGAGCCAGAGTGTGAACCAAAACACATCCCTCCTGTGGAACACGTTCCCTTGAGGATAAACTCGTGGAAGGAGCAGGGTTTAGCCCAGGGAAAAATGCCACCAGCCTTGTCCTGGGGGCAGGAAATGCCACCAGCCTGTGCCCTGTGAGCYTCCCAGGAGAGCCAAACCATGAATTAAAACACATCCCAGTGTGGGACACGTTCCCTCGGGGATAAACCCGCAGAAGGAGCAGGGTTTAACCCCTCACCTTGCCCTGGCTGAAAGGAATGCCACCAGCCTTTGCCCTGTGAGCCTCCCTGGACTGCATCCCAAAACACATCCCAGATAGAGGATATGTCCCCTTTGGGTTAAAGCCACGGAAAGAGCAGGGTTTAGCCCAGGAAATGCCACCAGCCTGTGCCCTGTGAGCCTCCCAGGAGAGCCAAACCATGAACAAAAACACATCCCAGTGTGGGACAGGATCCCTTGGGGATAAACCCATGGAAAGAGCAGGGTTTAACCCCTCAGCTTGCCTTGGGTGAGCCTGTACCCTGTGAGCCTCCCTGAACCACGAATAAAACACATCCCAGATATAGGATATGTTCCCTTTGGGATAAACCCACGGAAGGAGCAGGGTTTATCCCAGGAAATGCCACCAGCCCCTGCTCTGTGAGCCTACCAGGAGAGCCAAACCATGAATTAAAACACATCCCAGTGTAGGACAGGTTCCCTCGGGGATAAACCCGCAGAAGGAGCAGGGTTTAGCCCCTCCTGCCCCCCACGTACCCGCTGTAGCTCTCCACCGTGTCCTCCTGGCCCAGCAGGGCGAGGGAGCAGCTCCTCGGGGCAG